CTGTGCATGGAGTTACTATGAGTCGGTTCCAACTTGATGCCTCCTGACAACAACAACAACAACCAGTGGTTAACAAGAAACTCTGGTAGCAGTAGTGGTTATGAGTCAGGCTGCTAATCTCATGGTTAGCAGTTCGAAACTACTAGCTGTTCCATGGAAGAAAGATGAGGCTTTCTGCTCCCATAAAGATTTACAGCTTCAGAAATCCTATACAGGGTTGCTGTGAGTTGGAACCAACTCCACGGCCCACCACCCCCACCACCAATGATTAACAGTATTCACCTCTATTCACTTTACTTCTTGTACTCCTCGTCTGCCACTACTTTTATCTTTCTTCTGCTAACCTCCCAGTTGTTGTATGTTGCCTGCCCTGTCACCTGTGTTAACTTCTGTCTACTCTCTAGCCCATGAATAATCTTCCCTTGCCCAGTCACCATCATAGATGGCTTCCTTTATCCAGAAAATTCTTGGTTAACTATTTACAATATTGGTCTCATATAATATTTGTCCCTCTGTGATTGACTAATTTCACTCAGCGCAATGTCCTCCAGGTTCATCCCAAGTTATGGTATTTTCAGTAGCCTCATATGCATTGAAGGTTTATAGACGGTTTCATATGCATGGGAAAGGTAGACAATTAATAAGGAAATCCAGGGAAAAATGTATGCATTAGAGTTATAGTGTTGGAGAAGAATATTAAAAGTACCATGGACTGCCAGAAGAACAAACAAATCTATGTTGAATGAAGTAATATCCAGAATGTTCCTTAGAAGCCTGAATGGCAAGACTTTGTCTCACATACCTTGGACATATTATCAGGAGGGGACCAGTCCCTGGAGAAGGACATCATGCTTGGTAAAGTGGAAGGTCAATGAAAAAACCCAAGGAGATGGATTGGCTTCTGTTGTGTTGTCACGCTGAGTCAGAACCTAAAACACCGAACAACAAACAAGATAGCTGGTGTTGCCAGCCACATCCTTGGGAAACTCTCTTATGTTGGATCAGGGTTAAGGGTATTGCTGTTGTTGTTAAATGCTGTGGAGTCGGTTCCAACTCATAGCAATCCTGGATAGAGTTTCTGAGGTTGGTGAGTTTGAACCACGAACCTTAAAGTTCACACTGACCTGGAGGTCCAGTGCTTATCCTTCGGCACAATATCAGGACTCCCAAGGATTGCAGCCCACCTTTAATCCTTTTATTGGTTGATCACATCAGAACGAATCATCAATGTAACTGTCACATTACATCATCACATAACTGCCAAACCACTAAGAGTCGACTCAGCTAAGTTGACATATTTTGGTGGGACACAATTCAACCTATGACAGTTGGCCAGCTAGCCTAAACAAGTGAGTATTTCCAGGTTTGCATCCATTGAAACATCTTAATCAGTATTCCA